GTTGGTTAATTAATACTGTTAAGAAACAGACGGAAATGTGTTATATTTTCACAGCCTAATTTAGCGGTGATTGTGACCATTTATCTGAAAAAAAAAGATAGAAAAAAAAAATTTACATTTTTATCAATTTAAAGACGTCTTGACCACATATATATTTAATTTAGTTAATTGAGAACAATAAGAAATATATGCAAATGTGTTATTTATAATATTTTCGAAGCCTAATTTAGCGGTAAATTTTTTACCGTTCATAAGTGAAAAATTTATAAGTTTTTATTTCTACGGTTTTATCAACTGAATTTTTTTGGGGGAAAAAATAAGACTTTGGCAGGTTAAAAAAAATTCTGTGGTTTAAGTGGCTTAAAATATTACGTTAAGATTAACGAGGCTCGAACCTCTGAACGTTAATGTCTCTCTTTGACATCTATCATGTAACTCGCTCTTGATTAGAGGAAGTGGAGCCACCCTCCTGGGCACTGTATGAACCCTCAGGGTTTATCGCTTCCCCTTGAACATATTAATCACAGTGTTGAAAAAAAAGTTGTATTGGTCCATCCTGGACCATTATCAAGACATGATAATGGTCCATCCTGGACCATTATCATTGTCTTGATAATGGTCCAGGATGGGCCATTATCATGTCTTGATAATGGTCCAGGATGGGCCATTATCATGTCTTGATAATGGTCCAGATGGCCATTATCATGTCTTGATAATGTCCAGGATGGGCCATTATCATGTCTTGATAATGGTCCAGGTGGGCCATTATCATGTCTTGATAATGGTCCATGATGGGCCATTATCATGTCTTGATAATGGTCCAGGATGGACCATTATCATGTCTTGATAATGGTCCAGGATGGGCCATTATCATGTCTTGATAATGGTCCAGGATGGGCCATTATCAATGTCTTGATAATGGTCCAGGATGGACCATTATCATGTCTGATAATGGTCCAGGATGGGCCATTATCATGTCTTGATAATGGTCCAGGATGGGCCATTATCATGTCTTGATAATGGTCCAGGATGGGCCATTATCATGTCTTGATAATGGTCCAGGATGGGCCATTATCATGTCTTGATAATGGTCCAGGATGGACCATTATCATGTAAGTGACCTGATAATCTCTCAAAGTAATTTTAGGATCCCTACCCTTGGATCAACCTCAATTACCTTTGATTCCTCAAGCGATACACGACCCCTACGGGTTTAGCACTTCCCATTAATAATAATTAAAATAACAGGGCCGTAGGCCTACAGTATACCGATAACTAAATCACTTGTAGTTTATTAGTATTATTATTCTGATTATGTGAAGCGCTAAACCCGTGTGGGTCTGTCAACACAAAGAGTGCTGGAGGCTCGATCCACGGATCGCTACTCGCGAATGGTGGATATCGCCTTCCTAAGTTCAATTAGCTTACTTATATTTACTAAAGAAAGTATATATATATATATATATATGAAAGACTATCCACGTGGAAGAGAAATCAGGTCAAGATCTTTCACATGTCTCCGTGCGTCATCAGGAGCTATACAATGTTTCAAGAGCAGCAACAGGTAGATTTTCTCAGAGGAAAGATAACGAGTTGACCTTAGACTGTTCCATTTCAGAAGGAGACATGTGCAAAGATTTTGAGCTGAAGATTTTTACTCCCCCATGTTTTGCACCATTAAATTATATATATATTATATTTATATATATATATATATTATATATATATATTATTATATATATATTATATATATATTATATACATATATATATATATATATATATATATATATATATATATATATATATATATATATAATATATATATATATATATATATATATATATATATATATATATATACTACTGTGGTTAGCTCCCCAGCAGCATCAGGTCAGAGTTGGTGCAGCACCATGAATGTTGATGACCGAAGCTGCTGCCCAAAACGTTCACGAAAGTAAGCGGAAGTTAAATAATTGGATAAAACCTAAACCTGTTACAAAAACAAACCCGCCTGGTCAAAAACAACAAAAATATTTGTCGAGAAACGAACAACAAAACAAGATGCATAATATATGTCGAGAAACCAATACCAATAATAAAAAAAACAGAATACGTTAGTTTTTTCAAAGATTTTTACAAATTAAAATATTCTGTATATCAACAAATATACATTAAAAATATATTTTCCTGCGTTACGTTCTTACCTTAGTTTATATATATATATATATATATATATATATATATATATATATATATATATATATATATATATATATATATATATATATATATATAATATAATAATATATATATATATATATATATATATATATATATATATATATATATATATATATTTATATATTATATATATATGTCGTGCCGAATATGTAAAACTGGTCAATTAGCAAGAACTCATTAAAATTAAGTCTTTCTAAAATGTTTCTTATACGTTTAAAGATATATTTTTTTCATTAATGTTATGTAAAAATTTATAA